TAAACTTATTCATCGCTAATGCTGATTAAATCAGCGAATCAAATTGTTCGATTGACATCAGAAATCGAGAAAATTATTTGCACCTTTGACTTAAGAAATTACAATTGGCCCTGAAAAAAGTTTATGATGGAGTAAAATTGAGATAAATCAAAGAACTCAAAAAAAAAACAATTCATTATAAATTATGAAGAGAATTTAGCTAAAGCTTTACTTACTGTTTCATTCACATTCGAATCTGATAGAGTAAAGATTACAGGAAGTATAGCATTTTATGAAAACAGCCGTGGCACTTTATGAAAACGACCTTCGACCCTATCTTCAACTGATGTCAGACAAGATGGTATTAATTTGTTACAACTTATCAAATGATCCAAGTAAATGGGAAAAAATATTTCAATTTAAATTTTATCTTATCAATTACTCATTATGATTGTAACATTTTTTTTTTGCACAAATACAAAAATAGGTAAATGAAAAGAAGATCACTAAAAAAGGATAAGTGACGAAGACACGTGAAAATTCGACATATTTTAATTACACATTGGCAAAAAATTATCGCATATGTTGCTAAATGAAAATTCAAGATGCTAAATTTTATCATATCAAATATTTTTTTTATGACTATCTTTCATCAACTCAAGTGATATCAACGAGATCTGTGATGTGATAAATAGAGTGATATCAAAATTATTTTCAGCAAAATTTCATAGATTCGATCAATACTGCATTGTATGCTGCTTTCAACCGCAATGCCTGAAAATATGAATACATGTATGAGTATTTTGAAGTTGAAATAAATTTTTGAATTGAAATTTATGTAAAATTTCCTTTTAAACATAAGAAATCGCAATGAACGATATTGTCTGATATTACATTATTCGATCTGTAATAATGATAATTTTTCTTCTAACGTATTCTTAACATTTAGTTTACATATTCATAAATGCGCTGTCATATACTTACAGATTACACAACTCACATACGTGACATTTATAACGAAATAATTTTATAATATTTCTCACCTCCTTCTTAAAAACTTCATAATTCGTCTCCAATTCTCGCTGTTTTGCTGCCTCACGTAACGCATTCAAATTTTTTTCCACGGATTGCCATTTCTTTTCTATATTTTTAAACTGAAAATTGTTTTTGCTTTATTTACACAAATTTACGAGACTTCATGTCGTCTTATCGATCATGGAAAAACTTGGCACAAATGAATATGTGCTAGTAATGCTAACACAAAAGTTGAATCTTAACATGTCATCAGAACTAATCAAGAAAAAACAAATTATTAGCTTCGAGTTAAAATGTCTTAGAATACCTATAAAAGTGAATTTAAAACGTGAATTTTTTGCTTTGTATCTTTTTCAAGAATTTCAAAATTAACCAATATTTCTTCACCTTGATATAATTATCGTTCTTTTCGAGTCTAAATTTCAATTGTTCTAATTCATTCATCAGTTTCTGATATAAATTGTTAGTTTCTGGTAATTCTTTTGCCAAAATTTTACGTCGATTTTCTAATTCCTAAAAAAGAAAATACCTTTTGCAATGATACAATCAATTAGTGCAAATTTCAAATGTCTTTTTTAATAAATTTATTAATCTTACCCGATGCTTTTGCTCCTTACGAGCTTTCATATCCTCAATATTTTCAAACTGTTCCGTCTTCTCAATCACTTCTTTTAGTTTTTCGTTAATTTGATTATTGTCCGTTTTAAGACGCTCTTCCAGCTTATCCATTTCAAATAATTCTTCTTGTAAACAAACATACACTACAAATTATCGAAATATCGATTTGCAGATCATATTAGCATCATTTATAGGTTTTAGCTTTTGAAAAGGAAAAATGACAAATTTATGAGTGCTTTCTTTTCTGGGTTTTAAATTTTTCCAATATTTTTTAAATTTTCGACTGTTGAAATTTTAAAATTTCCGAGTGAATTTAATAATTCAAAAGCATTGCACTTACATTCTTTTAAAGCTGATGTTGAAATATTTCCATCGTTTTTCAGTTCAGTAAAATCCAGGTTAATGTTCTGGGAACTTAAAGACAGGTTTGTAATATTTATTGAAATTAATTCTAATATACGGACCACTTCAGCAGTTATCTCATTAATTCGTGATTCTTCTTTTGCTCTCGAATTGTCGTATGAATTCAGAAATTCATCCATTTGTATTTCTTTTAATTTAAGTTCTCGATATTTCTCATTCTTTTCACCTATAGAAGCTAACATTTTTCAATATTTTTGTTATTTAACATCAAATTCTTGTATAAATTTAAGTGTAAAAGTTGGGTCTCAGTTAACAGAATTATAATGATATCAATTGATATTGTTATGTCATAGTAATTTTGATTTAAGCAAAAGACTCAAATCTTTCGAATAAATGTGATAAAAAATAATAATAACCGCAATAGTAACCATAATCATGATCATAATAATAACAATAAATGATAACTGGAATAAAGCTATACAATGATAATTTACCTGCAACATTTTCCATTTCAATATCAAATTCTCGTAATTCTTCTGTTAACTGCTCAATTTGCTCATTAACATCATCCAATCTATAATTGAATGATTATATTAAATCATAAGTAGCTAAATTCTCATTTTTTCTGACTATTAGCACAAATCTTTCATTAAGTGTGACTTAATAATTAATAAAGTCTAATGCTGAAAAGTACTAAAACATTTACTGTACTTACTGCTTTTGTATTACATTGATTTCATCAGTTGTACGAATTACTGTTTGCAGTAAACGTTCACGTTGCTCATTTGGTGTGCCTTCTGCATTAATTTCATCAACAATTGTATGCTTTTTCTCTTCTAATTCTGCCAAACGTTCATAAAGGACGGCTGTAAATGTGGAAAAATAATACTTTTAATATATATTTGATAAAACAAAAAATTAAAATAATTTCAAAAATTTACTTCAAACTTTTCTTAATTAAAATAGTGCTCTATCATTGAGTAATCGTTAGCTTTAAATATATTTTTACTGTACTCATAAAGTTTTGTCAAAATTTCAAAATAAATT